AGACGCTTCCCTGCATCGATTCCCTTTCGCAATGCAGCCCGTCGGCGCGGCCTTTGGATCCCACCGGGAGAGCCCATGGCACAGACAGCCGTGCTGCTGCCTGCCTGGCACAGAAACACCTTCAGGACAAGGGCAGCAAAGCACCAAAGTCCTCCAGGACTTGGCTGCACGCTCTGCTTTCCACCAACACCCAGGTGGAGATAAAGTCACGTTTTCCAAAGGTGCCACCAGCCCGGAAAGCACCAGCAAACACCAGCACTCCAAGGAGGAGAGGGCAGGATGGTTCCTCCTGCCACCAACAGGTCTCCTGGCAGGACAAGCCCGAAGTCCAGCACGACAGGCTCCTGACACTGCTTATCCAGGCCAGAGACCTGATCCCAGCTGGACTTTGCCCACCATGAGATGGCCTGGGAAGTCTGAATGGGAAGAGACGGGAAGCATGGGGCTGGGGCAGGGATGAGAGGAACGTAATCAGGGCTGGAGCTGCCAGCGGGGTTAAGAGCTGCGGGTTTATCAAACACAATATCCCCCCACAGCCCCCCCCCCCCCCGGAATAAAAAGGGAGTGAAACAGAAGCTGTGCGGGAGATAAGGCGGCAGCACCCGGCAGCTCATATGGAATTACTGCAGTGACCTTGAGCAAGAGACGGCCAGGTGGGAGAAGGACACACGGCTGCGGGGCCAGGTCCCCATCGCCCGCGGCCCCGTGCGGGGGATTGCGGGGGCGACGCGGGGGCGGCGCGGGGGGCGAGGAGGAACGGCGTGGAGAGAGAGCTGGAGGGATGGGGGGACTGCAGCGGGGGCAGAGGGGTCCGGCGACAGAAGGGGGGGCCCGGAGAGGGGATTACAGCTCCATCCCTGATCAGGTGCAGGGCTGGGAGGAGCAGCGCTCGCCATGGAGGGGGGGAGCGGCGGGGAACGGCTCCCGCAGAGCCCTCGGCCTCGATGCCGGCTCCTGCACCCGCCCGGATCCCGCTCCCCCTCGCAGCCGCCGCGGGGCCCCGAGCCCGGCCCGGGAGGCGTCACGGCACCGAGCTACCCACCGGGGCCCGGCATCCCCCGCAGCCCGCGATGCTCCGGCGTCCAGAACCTTCCTCCTCCTCCTCCTCCTCCTTCCCCCTCCACATCATCCCGGCTGCCGGGGCGCACGGCCCCGCTTACCTGCGCGGTGCCGCCGCCGGTGCCGCCGGGGAGCGCGGGTGGAGGCGGCCGCAGCCGCCCGCTCCTGCTGCGCGCCGCCGAGTTGCCGGGCTGGCTGGGCAGGTCCCGGCGGCAGGTCCCGGATTAACCCCTTCGGGGCCGCCCGGGCACCGGCCGAGGCGCTCAGAGGGCCCCCCGGCCCCCCCCGGTGCGGTGCGGCGCAGCGCGGTGCGGTACCGGCCGCGGGGGATGCGGCGCCGAGCCCCTGCCCCGCCGCATGCGGGAGGCGGGGATGCTGTAAATGCTCAGTCACTGCCCCTCGCTGGCAGCCAGCCAGGCGCTGCTCGCTGCTGCTGCCTTGCTCGCCTGTATTTTTTTTTTTCCTCCTCCTCCCATTATTTTTAGACAGAAATCCACGTCCACGGGCGCGGAAGCAGCTGCGAAGGATGCCGACCCTCCCCACCACGCAGCTCCCTCTCTGCTACCCAAGGCCACGCTAGCAATTTGGGTTATTTAAATTATTATTCCTTTTTTTTTTTTTTTTTTTTTTGCTAGGATCTAAATTTGGAGCAGATTCTTCCCCTGCTCTGAGCAGCTCCCAGAGCCTGGCTGGGGGGAGAGAGGGAGGCATCAGATGACATGACAAAATAAGTCATGTCTCTCGATCATTTCAATGCCACCCCCTCTCTCTCCCGGCCTCTGCCTTCCATTTTAATCACTGACAGCCCTTCAAGTATTATGGATATATATAATCTATTTAATATCACTGACATTTTCCATGATGGAAAGCATCTTGGGGGTGCTGAGACATTTGGGAGGGGGATCGTGCCTTCCTGCTGATGCTCCTGCCACACAGAGCACAGCTGAGATCTGTCTTGCCTGAAGGTCCTGCCTCGGGTCCCAGAGGGAAGCCACATGCCTCCAGGGCTTTGCAGATCTGAGCAACCTGACATTCCCAACAAGCTCTGGCTGTGCAGGCTGAATAAACATCTAGCCCCTCTTCCAGCTGCAGCCTGGGAGAAGAGCACATCCAGCATCCAAACCATTCCCAGATCAGCCCAGAGAACATCCCAGCTCGGGCGGTGGGAAGCATTCTCCATGGCAGCCCAAGATTCCTCTTCCTCCATTCCCAACACTCCTGATTCACTGTGTCAGATGGTGAGGCAGACAGCTTGCTCTTCTTCAAGCGCTGATTTTTTACAAGCAAAGTGAACCTCTCTGTGCAGAAAACACCCTACGAGGTGTTTTCAGAGCTGTACAAACGTGGGGTTTCTTTGCTGGGGCCCACAATCCTGCCATGGGAAGTGGGACCCAGCAAGGCACTTACTGCCATCAGCACAGCCTGGCTGCTCACCCAGACCCCTCAGCCATCGAGAAATGCACTGTCACCTTCTGCTTGCAGCATTTTCCTAGAACTCCCCCTCTTTCCGGGCTCTCTGGTGGTGTCTTCAGGCCCCCACTCATGTGATGGGTTTGGTATGCAACTCCCAAGGCCAGGAAGGTCGCTCACCTCACCTCGGTTATTTAGCAAACACAACACAAATTATTAACACTAATACAAATATTGCCCACGTCTGGGAGAGGAGAAGGAATACTCTCCTTGCCTGGCTGCAAGGGCTCGGCCTTACAGGGTCCTTCAGAGCACAGGGCTGACAGCCCTGAGGGTCCCTGCACTGATGACAGAACCCACGTCTCACAACGGGCTTGTAATGAGGGTACATATTTCTAAAGCTGTTCTGTGGAAGGCAGCTCTAATTCCACTGCAGTTCCTGTCATGTAACTTCCACAAATCAATGCAAAAGGGAAAAAAAAAAAAAAAAAAGCAGCTGGCTCAGAGAAAGCTGCAGCAGCCAGACAGCAGACAGCAGAGTATCACAGTTGTTGGCCCACACATCCCTTCCTGCACGCTGCTTGTACCTTGTCCCCTGAGGACACTCTTGTCCAAGGCTGGAAGAGGCACTGACATTATTTATGACAAAAAATTAGACTATTCACAGGTTTGTTCTCCTTTGCAGAGCTCTTACACCACTCGCCTTGCCCTGTGCCACCAGGCTTCTCCCTTGGAAGGGACGGAGATGCCAGCACAGGACACTCTTCCATCATACGTGACTGATGTAAAACTCCCATCTATCTGGTGTCATATTAACAGACTTTCCTGTGGGTAGAATAATACATGCAGCCTGGTTTCCATGGGTTGGACTGGAGATATGGATCCATGGAGACATGGATGGGCTTTGCCATCCCTTAATGTAAAGCTACCACGTGAAAGGATTCCTGCCTCCGAGACAATCACGTTGCCTCTAGAACGTGCAGACTCCCTCTTGTCTAGAAACAGATGGCTTGAGCAGTTTGAGTTGGGCAGATTCACAAGCTGATAATCATCTCCAGGGAGGCAGGAGCTATTGTCAGAGCCTGTGAGACACACCCCAACTTCAGGCCTTTTTCCTCCTAATTCTCCAAATGTTGCTGAAATTCTCACTCCAGGAATGCTGAGCAGAGACATTCCCTTTGTGGGTCTGTGACCGCTAAGCCAGAGGCGGCTCCTGCTGCCACAGAGGCCAAAATGCTTCCCCACACTCACTAAGAGAAGACATCTCAAAACATGAGGGGCCTTACCTGACCAGCAAAAAAAAAATAAAGCTGTGCTTTGCCACAGCACTGCCAGGAGCCAAGAGGAAGAATATATTCTCTCCTCAGACAGCACAGGAGCTAAAATGAGAAAGCAAGAGACACCAATTCTGCAGAAGGCACAGTTATTTCACGCTCTGTGCAGCTCCAGACTGTGTCAGTGTGGCTGCCAAAGGACAGGAGCACGTGCCCAAGGCACACACGCCCGGTGCCACCGCACAGTGACGCGCACAGTTCGTAACAGCAGTGCTCAGCACGGATATGCATCTGCTGCCTAAGAACTCCAGAGGTATCACAAACCTCAATTAATGATCTACACTGATGTCACTGTTCTCCAGGGCCAAAGCCTTTCCCGGGAATGCTGTCCGGCTGCTTTGGCAGGAAGGCGGCACTTTTACCCACATGACACAGGTCCTCTCGATGCCAGGTCAAGATTGACCCCACAATCAGCTCGCTCTGCCTTGGGAACCTGCTCCCACTGAAGCCCAGTGTGCCACACTCAGGCCTGGGATGCCTCCACAAAAAGCTCTATTCCAGCTGTGATGCACAAGGAAACCCAGACACAAAGCAGTGATGGACCCAGACGCACAGGCAGATGGACAGACAGGAGGGGTGGCTCTAACACGAGGCCTTATCGTGCTCACAACATTTACAGCACAAATTTCACTCATTTAATTCAAGAGTGATTAGACTTAGAAGGAAACAAGTAAGAACTGGCTCAAAATGGGGCTGGATGGAAAGAAATGGCAAGATCAGCAAAAGGTGGAAATTAATGGGAAAAAACCAGGCAGGTTGGCACATCCCTTGGGATAGTGCTTTTACTGGGATCCAGAATGCCTCAGAGAAGCCTGCTGTCAGCAAGTCCCAAGGGGAGACTGGACAAGCAGACAAGAATATGATCAAAAATGGGATGGATTTGTCTAAGTTACTTTGCTTGTACCAGTGCTCTTGAGTACAAAGGGAGACCCTGCTCACTCACCTGCATCCAAGCACAATTGACAAAAAAACCTCATATCTCATGTTGACTGGCACTTTTAAATTCTTCTTCCTTAGAAAAAATGCCAGTATTTTCTAGTCCTAACGTTTTCTGAGGCAGTGATATTTCTTGCCTTGTCTCTTCTTGGCAAGTGATCATCTGTAGCACTAACAGATGATCCAGCAACAGTCCCACATCACAGCATGTCAGAAAAGAGGCAGCCCAGTATTTGTAATCACTGAATCACTTCAGAAAGAATCTCCACTCAATCTGTGTAAATACAGTTATTTATTTTTTTTAAAGCAAGTCTATTTCTACATGCAAAGGGTTTCAGCTCTCCCACTGCAGAGCATGTTATAGCTTTAGATCCTCAAATAAAGACACCATTTCACTCACCATTGAATCCAGCAGCTTGTAAACCTGCAGCAGAAATTAAGAGAAGACAGTTGCAGTGAAAACACACTGAGGAACCCTGAGGATGAGACTGACAGAGACGGTTTCTCACACTGCAGTACATTATCATATGGGCACACACACAACCACACAGAAGTGGCAGCCTGCTAACAGAGCTCTCTAGTAATAACTTCTCTGGCTATGAAGTGTGTTTAACATTATCTGAGGTACAATTAATTCAGCTGATCCCTCAAGAGTCCACAAGCATGCTAAAGACATCCCAGATAGAAGTCCCGCATGTGGCTATGCGATGGCTGGATTTCTGCTAACAGATTCTGGGCTGGAATAAAGGGCATCTTAATTTGGATTTCACACTTACCTTGCTGCAGCATGAGGGACATATGTCTGTCAGTTTTCTGAGTTTACAAAAATGTTTCCCTCTCCCCCTGAGCCTCAGTGTAACTTACAAGCCAAGAAACTAAAATACAAGCTTTGGTCAGACTCACTTCAATATAGAGTTTTTCCTGGTATATTCCAAATGAAACAGAGTCCACCTGCTCCTGAGGAGGTTCTACTCCCTCTGCAGTTACAGCTCCCTCTTTCTCCTTCAGTGATGAAGTGGCAGATACCCGCTTCTCATCTTTTACTTTTGGGGGCTCTGCTCCCTCTTTCACCTTCACTGATGCAATGGAAGATGACCGCTTCTCATCTTTCACTTTCATCTTTCTGCTGCCTGGATGTTCCTAATCAGGGACAGACCGAGAAAAAAAGGGACATGGGTCAGAACACCACTCAGGCTGTTGCTAGATGCACCTCCCAGGAGCAGCACCTCTCATTCAGGGTTAGAAATCAGCTCAAACTCAGGACACACAACCTCAGAATTGTTCACACTGTCCCCTGCACTCAGGGCTCACCAGACATCCCAACACATACCGCTTTCTCTTTCCCTGATGTTGCTCTACTTTTTTTGCCTTCTTTATCCTTTTTCTCTTCTTTCTTAGTGGCTATTTTGTCTTCCTTTCCTCCTTTTTTTTCTCCTCCTTGCTTTACTTCCTCTAATAAAGAAAAAATTTCAATTACCCAAAAGCATCCACACATCCAGAAAGACCAGCCCACCGCACTAACACAGTGGGAGTGTTACTTTTGCAATGTACTTCCCTCTTTTTATTAATCTGAGCTGTACTGCACTGAAAAACAATACCTTGAAGAGTACTTTGTTTAAATAAGGAATGAAGAGGTCTCAGATGTGTATCAGAACAAGCCTGTAAGACAGCTAATAGTGAGGCAGTGTTTGCTGGGTCAGTCTGTGTGAAAACCACAGCTACACGTAGCTGAATTAAAAGGCTTTTTTGTGAGGTGGTTTTTTACAAATAATACTGTGACTGTCACACAATCTGCCTTTTTTTTCTGATGCATTTTCTTATAAAAGCTTTGAGGGGGACCTGCTGAAAATGAAATTTCAGTTGAAACTCATCATGTTTGCTGGATTTCCAACAGTCAACAGAAAGCAGTTGCTGTTCTAAAGCTACCATTTACCTGTTTCCTCTGGAACACCATCTGCATAGGTGTCTTTGTCAAGCAAGCCATACAGGGATCTCAGCCTCAGAGCGTGACTCACCATATCATCAATTGCTCCCCGCCACAGCTGGAGGCTGAGAAAAGGATCAGGATCAGAAGGGAGACAGTGCAGCAGTTGCCACCTTGTTTTAACCCTGTGCCCAGAAGTAGAGGCACCTTACAGCTGAGAGCTGCTCTATAAAACTAAGCCAACAAAACAACACCCACTGTCTAAATATCTGGGCAGGGAGACGATAAATTGCTTTCCTCATGTTAGATCCCTCCAAGGTCTCAAAGGTTTGCAAATCAACAGGCTCCCAGGGACCCATAAATATTACTGTGAAACTAGGTCTGCTCCTCAACATGACACACGTTGATAAATCAGCATCAACCTGCTCTGTGTTTACCAAGAGGAACCTGCATCCTTCTAATTTAGATGCAATGAGAAGCTGTTGATATGTTTACAGTCTGAAAGCCTGAGCAAAGAACAGAGAGACTGTATGAGGGAGGAGACAGTTATCTGAGTAAAAGGGTACAGAAAATACCCAAAGGTTTCATAAATACAGACTAGAATAATCTTGCTAGAAATAATCTTGTACACTCTCCAAAATTACAAGCATTTAATTTTCTAAACTTATCTCCAGGAAAAAAAAAAAAAAAGGCATTTGGGTCCTAGACAGCTGCTACAATTAAGCTATAAAAAAACCAGAGTGTAAAGATGACTTCTAGACCTCATATAATTATCTGCACTCTGAATCACAACACTTGCAACAGAGCTGGCTGAGGCTGTTGATCACACAGTGTTTTCACAAGCTTTTTCCTTGCAAAGGTAACACACCAGAGGGGATACAGAAGGTCTGACTGAGCTGGCCTCTGTTCAACACACAGCTCCAGAGCTGCCTTATTGAGCTGGGTCAGTGCTTCTTCCCTCTGCTCCTCCCTGGGGATTGACATTATGGCCTGTGAGAGAAAAGACAGAGGGTGTGTGGGGCACTTCTCAGGGCTCATTCCCAGTCTGCGGGCCCTGAGCTCAATGGAGCACACCACGGCTCTCTCCCTGGACACCAGCCCGAAACCAGGCTGCTCTGGGCACTTACACACACACACATGTGGCTTCCTGTATGGCTGGGATTTGGCCAAGGTCCCCAAGATCCAGGCAACAATCCCAGATTCCCCCATCACACTGACAGTAAGTCCCTTTGCAACTTCACAGGTGTGCTGGGGAACAGGGATTCTAGCAAGCTGCAAGGCTCCCTAGCTCAGTTATAAAAGAAACAGAAAGATTTCCAAGAGAGCACTACACAAAAACCGCTGACAGAATCCAAACCACTTTTGCTTTAATCTAGGGAGGTCTGTACTTTATCCACAGCCTGTCATGAGTGCCCCCTTAGTTCTCGATGAATAGAAAGGACTCTCCAAGGCAAGGAGCCCTTGGGGGAGCCACGGGAGGCTGTAAGACTAGCCTGCCCCCCGCATTCCGTGCTGGGATGACAGAAAGCTAACGGGGGAAGAGCTTAAAATATCTATTATGTTGTCTGGTTCCCTTCTCTTCTTCACACAACAGCCCACAAAGTCTGCCTTGGGAATCTCTTTACAAGAGCACTGAGGGTGTGGTCAGCAGAGCCAACACAGATCATAAATCATCTCTAACTCCCAGCACATAGGCAGCAGACCTTTGGGTGGGCTCCACACTGGGGCAGGCTGGGCTGTTTGAAGGGAAATGAAAACACCATCAGCTTGTCACAGCACCAGTGGGAACAGAGGTGACCACCTGTTTAAAGTCCTCAAGGGAAAGGTTCCATCCTGATGGGCCTGCTTCTTCCTCCTCAATGCTCATCTTTTGCCTCGGAGCCTCCTCTAGTGAGTTCTTCCCAGCTGGGAGCTCTGTGGTGCTGCTCTGAGCAGGGAGAGGCTCCACAGTGCTCTCCTGGTACTCTGTGTCCTCCTCTGCAGTGCCCCTCTGGTCTGAGGGCACTTTCTCCTCAAAGGCTGAAGGCACAGTCATGTACTGTCTCCACAGTTTGTGCAGCTGCTTCACCACTTGATACTGATAATAAAACTGTGATAACAGGGAAAAAGTAAACAGACATGAGCTTTGCCTTCCCTCTTCAAACACAACTGTTAAAGCTTCCGGGGCAGACTCTGCCAGCTCCAGAAACCCAGGGATGCACCAGCCCCATGAGTCTGCCCTCCCTGTTACTTCAGTTACCCATCAAATAGCAAACATCACCCCGGGATTCTTCCTGTGGAACAACTCTTCCTCGGTGGCATAGGCATCTGCAGGAGATGGGGTGCGCTCTGGAGTCCGAGCTTGGTCAAGGAGTTCATTGAGACTGTCTTTGACTATAGCAGCACCTTCTCGAGCAGCCAGGTCACTCTGAGGCACCACAGTGAGAGCAGCATGTGTGAGTCCCCATTCCACATACAAGCACACAAACAAATTCACTCCCACGCCAGTAACCACATGTATACATTACACAGGGTTACAAAGACAAGAATAACTGCAAACCCCACTGAGCCCAGCAGTACTGCCAACAGCTCTCCAAATAAACCCTACAAATCCTCCCTCAAACTATGCTTTTCAAAGCATAGTGTAATTTTCAATTTATACCTTAAATTATCGTAGTGTTCAACACACAATCCCATCCCCACTAAGTAACTAATGAAATTAATTACCAACAGAAAATTCATTTTTAAAGGGCCAGCGTGAACACTTTAGTAGACACAGTCATGTCTTTAGTAACAACATTACAAAAGACTGCAAAGTTCCTCCATGTTATTTAGCAAACCTGCTCAAGTATGTACAGACATTCTGTAAATCATCTTACTCTCAGCCCTAATTACACAGCAATAAAAATACCAGTCATTCACTCCTACCCTTATCCTCTATTTGCATATAAAGTTCAAAGCTCACAGTTACCCAGTCACATGCTTGGTTACCTCCAGTTTCTCTCTGAAGTCAGCCAATTTATCCTCATACACAGCAATTCCCCAAAGGGTCACCTGCAGCAGAGCTCCTCCTAATAACAGAGGATGTGTCCTAAATTCCCAGGGCTCACTGAAAATGCCTGCTCTCCTTGACTTGAAAAGAAAGGAAAACCTCAGAGTTTCTCCAGGCAAAATTACACCTGAAATAAGAGAGAAAATGCATTGGTCTGCAAGAAGCCACCTGGTTAACTTGACCCTTTTCCAACCCCACCCCAAGTGTCCTTATCTCTGTAGGAGATTCTTTCCCCATATTTTGGCTGGTTATCACAGTTCATCCAGCTATTTTTCTCCTTCCAGATTTACTCCCAGTCCCCATGTTACTGAACTGGTGTTACTTCCACTGCATGCTCCTTCTACAGCAAGCTCAGCTCTCCAGCAGATGATGGTCCATTTGCCATCAGCAAATGGCTCACTTCTCAACATTCCACCCATTTGCAGTCAGAGTAGGAGCAACCTCCTTTCCTTTAGGTTTCATGAGAGGGATCTGCCTTGCACAGCTCTTTTGGGGTGAGTCAGCTCTGACACCCAGGAGCTCCCTCAGGAGAATCACCCAGCAGTGCCGTGCCATTAGTCAGACTCCACGTCTCAGGAAACTCACCAATACCTGCTCTCTGGCTGAGGTACAAAGGTCTCGTACCTGGTCTGGTATCAAAGTAAAAACATGGCATCCTCCTCCCCTTGGTTTCTCTGGAGGGAATCTGCTGGGGAAGCCTCATCCAGCTGTACCAGATGGCAGCTGTGCCATCGTTGCTCACTGTCAGGAAGCTTTCAGCCTCCTCACCAGCCAGAGTCTCGAAGGTGAGCCGGGCAGCAACGCCAATTTCATTCTACAAGGAAGAGGAAAAAGCGAACGATTTCTCCTCTATCTGGCAGGATTTATCCTGCATGAAGTCATAGCTCAAATAAAGGGTTGAGCCTTGGTAGGAGAACTTGTAAGGCAGGTCCAGTGAAGTGGTCATTATACAGAGAGAGACTGGGAATCTGAGCTCACACCACAGCCAGAGCAACCCCTTCTGTCCCTACATCTCTCCAGACCAAACATAGGGATGCTCTATTATGTTCAGAATAAATTCCCCATTCTGTGGCCTGGGAGTGACACTCATTGTACAGCTGTGACTTGGGAACTCAAACAGGCTTAGTTTGACTAAACGATTAAAATCTCACAATTACCCCAGAAGAAGTCATGCCCTTGATCCAACGAGCAGGCTGGCCACAGAAAACTAAAGATAGATGCTTTTCTTCTTCTGGAACCACATTGCAGGAGTCACTGCTACAGAAAACAAGAGCCAGCATTTTCATGGACTGAAATTCACTATCAGAGAGGGGAGAACCTGGGATAATTTACAAGGCCCTGTAAGAAATAATCCCAGCTAATGCTTTTCCACACACTCATCTCCTTAAGGACAGAGCCTTGCTCCTTAGACACAAGGCCTCAAGGCACAAAGATTTCTAAATCTGGTGATTATATTAAAATATGCCTTTTGTTGTGCCCAGTGGAGGTTCCTCTCCATTCTGGCTAAAACCAGCTAAGGATACCTTTATAGACTGGTGGTACATATCCAAAACTCTTTACTTCTGCCACGAAGTAAAGCTTACTTAATCTCTTCAGAAGGGGTGGAACACGGAGAAGCCTCTGCTGAGACAGACGTGAACGGCTGCCCTTTACCAATCACCTCCAGTCCTTCCAGATCCTGGACATACACAAGAATGATCAACTCAGGATTTCTCTTTTTATAGGGAAAGGAAATTATAATACCAGCCAAATGCATCAACTCAGTCAAGTAAAGTGAAGTTGAGGTATTTTGCTCCTACAATGGTACAACTCCTTCATGAGTGTGGCCCTCTGGAAATGTCAGAACTTCCAAGGAAAGTACTGTGGGGCTAAGTTTTAGATTCCTAATGCTTTTTCAGACCCAGTTCTTGGCAATTTTATGTTACTCTACTGACAAGAAACAAGAGACACAAAGAATGTCCCTGCTCCTCTGGTCTTACCGGCTTATAAAAACCCAGTTCCTCCAGGATAGATTTCAGCTCCTGCCGCCGATGTTTCAGGAAAAGACTCTTATCCCAGGTTAGGTGGCAAGGAATCTTCGTTGGGGGCTTCAGAGCTGTGGAAATACCCATACAAGAGCTCGCTCTCTACATACTCACGCCTATTAAATTTCACTCTCTGCCCAACTTTGGCCTCATGGTGTTTTAAAGAGGAGGCTCAGGAGATGACTGGGAAGTAGCTGCTCCCTCCACATCCGTGCCCCGTTTCTCTGGAACACCTCTCTGCAGTGCTCCCTTACCCGTTTCCTTCTGGACAGTGCGGGGTTTGCCCACGTGAGTGATTGGCTCTCGGTCCCCACGTTCTGTCCGAGTCAGTGTCAGCATCAGGCCGGTGAGTTCATCTCCAATACGGTCGGGTTGGCTCCAGAACTCGCTTCCTACTCGGAATCCCTGCGGTGCAAAACCAGGCTCGCATTGATACAGAGTTGCACAGCTACCTGCTATTTTCACAGGGGCTAGAAAGGATCTGATCCTGCCTATATGAACATTTTAATAGTCCGTGAATTATCCCTTTCTGCAGAGCAAGCCAAAATTTCTATTAGGCTGCTGCCAAAGACAAAAGAACTTTCTTATACCTAGTGCTATGTGAAGGTTGAATGATATTAAAATTAAGCCTTGCACAAATGCAAATTCTTTGATAGTGCTATAAATGTAAAAAAATTATTTTAACACAGGATCCTCCCATAATCCTCTTGCATTACCCGTATCCCTTTCTCCATGGCAATCACTAAAATCCAAGCCCGAATGAATCAGATCTCTCTGCTCCTGGAGCAGCAATTGTGACATGTTCCCATGTCACCTCCCTGGGCAGGACAGACTTCGTTGAGAGTCCAGAAATGGCACTTGCTCATCCCCACCTTCCTCTGAGTGGTATGGATAGCACAGTTCATGGTTTTATTTTTAAAGCCCCTGAAAGCTCTGCTCACACACCAGGCTGAAGGACTCAGAGTGGCTTTGATAAACACCTATGAAAGCTCTACAGGGATGTTACTCACCACACCAGTGTCTGTGCTGTTTCACAAGAGCAGCACATTCAGGACACACAGGAAGTGGGGCTCTCACCTTTCCAGGATGGAGGTAGGGGAGACTCCGGTCAATGAGGTCACTTTCTTCCACGACTTGCCTGTAATTCTCCGCGATGTTCATCATCAATTCATTCTCTGGCTTCTGAAGTATTTCTGTAAAGAGGAAACGTCACATCATTGGTGCTGCACTTCTGGGCACACCCTTTGATACTATTGTTGTTCACCTGTAACCCACTTACACACTGGGCCCTGCCAAATCCACTGTCCTTGCCCCAGCCAGAGCCACCAGCTCACCCTCCCACCACATCCACAGCCACGAACACGTGTGAGAGCTCTGAGAACATGGAGTTAGACTGCAATGGCAATAGGAGTAACCCTGGTAGGTGATGACCACGGCAGTTTGATGTGGGGACATCAAACTCCCCCACCTACACACAGAATTTTACAGAATGAGGCCTCTGCAGCTTGTCTCACCTCCTAGGTGTTTCTCCTGCTTTTTCCTGATTGCCATATGATGGCTCCAGTTCTGGAGAGCTTTGTGCCCTGCTAGTTGGGCCTGAGGAGCCTTTCTCTTCTTCTCTCCTCCACATTTCTCTTTTAAAGCTGCTGCAGTAACATGTGGACGAGGAACCTCAGTAACATCTGCTGTCTGATGAGAAAGGAAATATTAAATGAACCTCTTCATGCACACCAAAACAAGAAGGGGTCAGGGCAGGAGGAAAGAATTATTCAGATTGACTGTACTTCTACATTAGCACTCTGAGAGGAACAAAAGCAGGACAGTAGGAACACACTCAGAGACAACGGAAGGATTTATCTGAGTAATTAGACTCCAGCAATGCCATTGCTGCAACCCTGACGCCTTCAGCAGAGCACAGAGGGAAGAGGAAGCCTGTGTAATTGTTCCCTCCGTGACCTGGTCCTGCACACAGCACTCCAAAACCTGCTGGTGCAGTTTCTCTGATGGCAAACCCTCCCCATAGAGTGTGACGAGGCTGGGAAAACCACACCTCGGGCCTGACCTGCTCCTGATAGGTGCTGGAAAGCATCGAAAGGTACTGCTGGCACCACACTCCACCTCTGGAAAAGTGCCACACAGCAGCATTTTCCTAACTTTACAAACCAACCCGAGCGCTTCTTCTAGCCCAGGCTTCCATCTTAAACTCCTGGACACTTCCCAAAATGTGATGAGGGAGAATCTCTTCGCAGCCATCAGCAAACTCTTTAGGTCCTACAACACACACACAAAAATACCCAGCCCCAGAGCCAGGTCAGTAAAATCTGGCTTAGCAAAACCAAAGCCCAGAGATAAGATGGAAGTTGAACCCTACCAGGAAAAGCCAGTGGTTGCCTGGGTGCCCTGGGGGAAGCAGGACGTGCTACAAGATGTGTCACCTCCTTGGGTTTGTATTTTCGAACGAGGTAATTCTTCCTAACTGGAACTCTCCCAGCATCATGGGGAAGGCGTGGAGCATGAAGCTGCAGGAAACAAACAGTAACAGCGCAGTTAGGTACACACTGACTCACCTCTAATCCATCTGATGCTTTTAGGATATGCAGAGGTCGTATCAGTACAATTACTGTAAGAGTCCTGGAAAGGGACTTCTCACAAGGGCCTGGAGCGACATGACAAGGTGGAATGGATTCAAACTAAAAGAGTAGGTTTAGATTAGATATTAGGAAGAAATTCTTCCCTGTGAGGGTGGTAAGGCCCTGGCACAGGTTGCCCAGAGAAGTTGTGGCTGCCTCATCCTTGGAAGTGTCCAAGGCCAGGTTGGACTGGGCTTGGAGCAAACTGGGATAGTGGAAGGTGTCCCTGCCCATGGTAGGAACAAGATGAGCTTTAAGGTCCTTCCAACCCAAATCATTCTATGATTCTCTGATTCCTCCCTATGAGGCACGTTATGCAGCTGCAGAGACACCAGCTTAGTTGCTGTCTCATTCCCCTGAACTCTGGTTTATAACAGGGGAAGGGAAAGGAGAGTTTTAAATCACTTTCCCAAGAGATATCTGCTCGATGTCAAATGCTTCCACTCACACACTGGGACTCAAGTTTTGGAAGGAAAGCCATGAAAGCTACTACACAACTTACAGGTCTTATGAGACCATAAAGTTGGAGAGGCAGATGATTTATCCTTACAGTTGCAAGTACTGTGTAAAGACTGATAATTCTTTATTTTTCACCATTGAACCTAATGATGTGACATTTTATCATGACAAAGAGCACGACAGACAAAATGGAGTAAGAACTCAACTGCAGGAGTGAGTTTTGGCTTAAGTAAATGGGCAGCACCCTCTGCTAAACACACAGAGAGTGACAGTTAAGGCAGCTTTTTCTACCAGTAGAAATACTCATACATACTTTCTCCAGGTCCTCCACCTTAATTGCAAGTGCCTGGATATCCTCTCCTTGCAGAACATATGAACCAGGCTCGGGCTCGGGCTCGGGCTCAGGCTCAGGCTCTTCTGAAATTGTTGAACTTGGCCTTCCAGAGGTCTTTTCCTTCTTGCCTGAAATATACACGAAGAGATCTCCTCTTCAGTCTCCCCAGGAAACACCACCTTCCTCTTTCAGCCTGGTTAATCATTTCCAGCTGACCATGTTTTGGTGGTGGTTTTTTGGTTTTGTTTTGTTTTGTTTTTAAGGTTTCACAGAACAACTGAATTCAGCATCTCTTGTAATGGGAAAAATCAAACTCTCAGAAGCAGCAAGGACCAAAGTGGGTCAAGCAGGATTCAACTGTCTCACCCTTCATTCTAGATGAGATAAATACAGATAAATAGAGCTCCCTGCAGGAGGAACAACAAATTCCTGGGAAGCTTCCTGCTCCAGCTGCTAGTGCAAGGACACAGCCCTCCTGCACTCACCCAGCACAACTCTGATAACACACTACTAGATTTCCAGAAGCTCCTGAATAGCTACACAGCTCTGAAACAGACAAACCCCCTTAGCACAGCCGGGCCGGGCCAAGCCGAGGGGATCGCACCGGGGGCTGTTCCTCCCCTTAACATGCGCGTCCCTCCCGCTGGTACCGGCTCATTCAAAAAACCCCAAACTATAATAATAACGGCACGGGGGTCCCTGGGTGGGAAGGGGCTGTCTGTGGGGGCTCCACCCCGGGCCTCGCTGAGGCCGCGGGCCCGGCCCGGCCGCCGCTGCCCAAGGCGCGCCCCGCGCCGGCCGTACCCGGGGGGCTCCGGTTCTGGGGCCGACTGGCCCGCGACGCCATGTCCCGCCGACCCTCCGACCGGGGCACCGGCACCGACAGAGCCCCCGCGAGTCGCGACAGGTCGCGACAGGACACGGAGCCCTCACAGCGCCGGGAGGCACCGCCCCCTGGCGGGGCACGGCGGCACCGCCCCGCGGCCCCTGCCGGCACGCATGCGCCGTGCGGCCGGGACACTGCCACACACTGGGACACACCGGGATAGTGGGACACTGGGACACACCGGGATACTGGGACACCGAGACACACCGGGATACACCGGGATAGTGGGACACCGGGATACACCGGGATAGTGGGACACCGAGATACACTGGGATACACCGGGATAGTGGGACACCCAGACACACCGGGATAGTGGGACACCCACACACACCGGGACACACCGGGATAGTGGGACACCGAGACACACCGGGATAGTGGGACACCAAGACACACCGGGATAGTGGGACACACCGGAATAGTGGGACACCCAGACACACCGGGATAGTGGGATACCCACACACACCGGGATAGTGGGATACCCAGGCACACCGGGATAGTGGGACACCCAGACACACCGGGATAGTGGGACACCGGGATACACCGGGATAGTGGGACACCCAGACACACCAGGATATTGGGACACCCAGACACACCGGGATAGTGGGATACCGGGACACAGCGGGATAGTGGGACACCGGGACACACCGGGATATTGGGACACCCGGACACACCGGGATAGCGGGACACCGGGACACACCGGGATAGTGGGACACCGGACACACCGGGATAGTGGGACACCCAGACACACCGGGTCTCCAGGATACTCGAAGAGTGGGACACTGGGGCGCAGGGACACGGACACACTGGGCCTCTGGGCACTGGTCGACCAGAGACACCAGGACATCAGGCTCCAGGACACCGGGCACTGGGACACGGGAGTGCTGGGACACCGGGGACACTGGGACCTGCCCTGCGGGAAATCCCCCCTGGATGATGCCACTGCCCCAAGAGCCCTCAGCCAGCACACAGCTCTCGTGTTTTATTATCCGTTGTGGCCGCTCACAGCCCCCACATTTTGGCCGCCGTGTCCGTCCCCCATGTCTGTTCCATGCTGGGTTCCCCCTCGGTGGGCACCGGGCAGTGCCCAGCACCTCTGGAGCTGGCACAGCAGGTCTGGCAGCAGCGAGTCCAGCACGGCCAGGCCAGCCCAGGTGCACCGCAGGCCGCTGTGGGAGAGGTGATGGTGAGCTCTGGGGCACCGGGGGAGACCCCTCTTGCTCCCCACAGGGGTTCCTGGGGCTCACCTGCCATCCAGGAGCAGCCAGCCCTGCTCCTGCAGCGCCCGAGCCTCCCCTGGTACCCCGAACACGGTCTGCAGGCTGAGCTGGGGGGAGAAGTGCCCCCAGCGCTGTGTGCCCAGGGTGAGAGAGGGGCATTAGTGATAGGGCATCAGTGGTGGGTCACTAGTGATGGGGCATCAGCATCCCAGTACCCCAAGGGGCTCCAGGAGAGCTGGAGAGGGACTTTGGACAATGGTCTGGAGTGACAGGACAAGGGAAACTGGATTCAAACTGGAGGGTAGGTTTACTTTAGGTATTAGGGAGGAATTCTTCCCTGTGAGGCCCTGGCACAGGCAGCCCAGAGAAGCTGTGGCTGCCCCATCCCTGGAAATGCTCAAAGCCACTTTGGATTGGTCTTGGAGCAACTTGGTGTTGTGGAAGGTGTCCCTTCCCATGACAGGGGGGTGGGATTAGATGGTCTTTAAGGTCCTTCCCAACCCAAACCATTCCGTGATTCTATGATTAGTGGTAGGTTGGTGCAGGGGACCCCCACAGGTGACTCCTCACCTCATGTGTGACGCCCTCATCTGTGCGTAGTCCCAAGGTGAGCAGTTCCTCCAGCCTGTGGGGACACGGAAAGCTGTGGGGCAGCACAGACAGGGAGAGAGCGTGGGGTGGACCCTTCTACTCACTGCTCCAGGGCACTCAGCACCACCCGACTCCTGGTGCCGTGTCCCTGGCACTGCACTTCCCGCATCCAGGCAACAGGCTCCGGCGTCTGGACACGGGCTTCCCGGCTGCAGCCGCCCTCACCCTTTGGCACGAAGCGCCCGTGCGCTCCTGCAGCAGTGAGGGAGGGGGACAACGGAGTTCAGGGGGCACGTGGCCACACACAGACCCACCTGGCTCCCCGTCACCCCCTTACCTGGCCCCACACCGATGTACTGGTCAGCCCGCCAGTAGGAGAGGTTGTGGTTGCTGAGGGCGCCCTGGGGGAGAGCGCGGCGTGGGGTGAGATGGGGCCGGGCCTGCTCGGGGAGCAGCACAGCATGGTGGGAACACGGTATGGGGGCCACCCCACCTTGCGTGCAAAATTGGAGACCTTGTAGTGGCGGAAGCCGGCGGCCACCAGCACAGCGCGGGCTGTCTGGTACATGTCGGCCAGCAGGTCCTGGGGGGGCAAGGGCAGGCTTCCCCCCCGGACCTGTGCCGCCAGCGCCGTGCCCCGCTCCAGCGTCAGCTGGTACAGGGAGATGTGGTCATCACAGAGCTCCAGCGCCGCCTCCAGCCGCTGGGCCCAGGCGTCCCGGCTCTGCCCCGGCAGCCCGAACATGAGGTCGATGGAGGTGTGGCCGGGGAAGAGCCCCCGTGCTGCCTCCACGGCCTTCTGTGCCTCCGCCGCCGTGTGCTCCCGGCCCAGCAGCCGCAGCTCGGTGTCGTCCAGCGACTGTGGAGGGAGTGTGGTGACAGTGGGGTCACGGGGGGGTGCAGGGCTGTGGGAGGAGAGCCCCTCTCACCTGGACGCCGATGGAGAGGCGGTTGACGCCAGCTGCCCTGAAGCCAGTGAGGCGAGATGTGTCCGTGGAGCTGGGGTTGGCCTCCAGCGTGACCTCGGCGCTGGCGGGCAGATGGGCAGCCCCCGCCACGGCCTCCAGCACCGCCGCGATGGTGCCAGGGCTGGCCAGGCTGGGGGTGCCCCCGCCGAAGAACACAGAGGTGATGCTGTGGGGCAGAGGGTGGGGAGTTGCAGGTGGGCACTGAAGACCCCATACCCTGCCATGAGCTCTTCGTGCACCCACCTGTGCACCTGGCTGAGGCGGAGCAGGGTCTGTGCCTCCCGCACCAGGCAGGCACGCACGGCCGCCTCGTCCACCGCCGGCACCACGTACGTGTTGAAGTTGCAGTAGGAGCAGCGCTTGCGGCAGTAGGGCCACTGTGGGCACAGGGTTTGTGGAGGTCGGCCATGCCCCCACCCCCAGGCACCCCACTTTGAGGGGGAACAGTCTCAGTCCGGTGCACAGGCCCCAGTATCCCTGACCTGCCCCGTGGGCACAAGGCCCACGATCCACACATGTGACCTTTCATATGCACGGCTTGAGGACCCCCTCAGCAACCTGCACCAGTGCATGGCTGGGGAGCCCCACCTGTGCCCCATGACATTGCATGGCCAGGCTGCCCCACCACGCGTGCAAGCCCCGGGGTCCCCAGGGTCCCATATGCACCCACGTGTATGCAAGACCCAAGCCCTCACATTCACCTTCCACCGGTGCAAGCTCTGGGGTCCCATGTGTCCCCCACGTGTGCAAGCCCCACGTGTACAAAGCCGGGGTCCCTCTGTACCCCCTTGTGTGTGAACCCCCGTACACCCCCACGTGTGGAAGCCCCGGGGTCCCCGTACACCCCACTGTGTGTGAACACTGGGGTCCCTCTCCCCACGCGTACGAGCTCCAGGACCCACATGCACCCCCACGAGTGCGAGCCCGGGGTCCCCGCACACACAACAAGCCCTGGTGTCCCCGTGTCCCACCCCGTGTCCCCGCTCACGTGCACGTAGAGCGCGGCTGTGGCGGGGCCGGGCGGTTCCGGGACCGGCTGCGGGGCCGGTTCCGCGGCAGGACCAGGACCAGGAACCGGGCCTGGGCCCCGTCCCGGGCCGCCCCCGCCGGGCAGCGCCGCAGCGACCGCCACGGCCGCCCTTCGGTACCCCCGCACTGCCGCCATGGGGCCCGCGGCACCGCCCGCACCGGGCGGGCACCGAGCGGGGCCGCCCCCGACTGCGCGGGGCCGGGGCGGGGCGAGAGGGAAGGGGAGGGATCGGGGCTGAAGCCCTGCGCTCCTAACGGGGCCGTACGGGGGATGCTCGGTGTGAGTGACGGGGATGCCGCGGTCGCTGTCCTCCCCGGTGCCGGGGATGCCGGGGTCAGTGTCTTCCCCCGGTATCGGTGTTCTCCCCCGACACCGGGAGTATCGGGGGATGCCGGGGCCAGTGTCTTCTCCCGGTGCCGGGGTCAGTGTCCTCTCGCGGTGTCCTCCCCCGACACACGATCCCGACGAGGCTCGGGCATTCCGCAGCCTGCCCCCGCATTCTCCCCCGGCTGCTCCCCAGGGCCGGGAAGGGTTTTCCAGCGTTTCGCCGGAGGGAGCCGTTGCTTATCCCCATGCAAGGTTGTGCAAAGCCGCTGCTGACGAGCCCCAACGTTATAAGTTCTTAATTTGCTCTATTAATAGCCACGGGGAAGTCCAAAACGTCCATGACAAAGGCTGTGACTGTAGATTCTCGTTTCTCGGCCAGGAACGGGTACTTTTTGTGTAACCCACTCCTGATTCAACTTTTCCGGCTGCCCGGAGTTTCCGAGAAGTTCAGTGAGGGCTATAAGAGCAGGAGCCAGGCACTGTAAGGCCAGAAAGCCATGAATACTGCCGGGAGCCCTGCACACACCGAGACCATACTGCCAGCCATGAACGCCAGCTCCTCCTCTACCGTGAGTACTTACAGCTGGGGCTGCATCATCCCAGGGGCTGGAATGGCCATGGGACATCTCGGCAGGTGTCCTGGCTGGTGAGGGCTGGATGGGCCCCAAGGAAGGGATGGGGAAGGTAGGGAAAGCTTCTCCAGCACCAGGCTCTGCTGGGGCTCAGACCCCTGGATGGTGTTGCACCACTCCTGGGACACGAATGGAAGTGTGGGGTGCAGGGATGGGGTGGCAGGGGCTGTACCCCCTGTGCTGGCTGGGGGGGGTCACTGTGTTTCTCAGCAGTGTGCCTGCCCTCACCAGCCAGGGCTGACACCACCTTCATTTCTTACGCATTTCCCCCAAACTACAGTGAGCAGGTGGGGCACCTCGAGGCAGCACAGGGGTTGTGCTAAGGGTGGAGTTACCAAACAGGGATGGGAGGAGGCCTGTCCTGCACCTGGGTTAGTGCTGTGGGAAACAAAGGAAGGTAAAAAGTCCTTCCCTCGACACCAGTCACAGGGGTCCACTGCATCCCCACGGTCACTGGCTGCAGGTGTTGTCATAGAGGTAACAGTTCCTCAGGAAGGAATGTTACAAGGGTCCTAAAACCAGGTCAGGGAGGAGACCTGAGTGAAATGTGGAGGATCAGTGCTGACACTAGCCCCACGAGCAGTTTGGGATCGGGGGAGGAACTTGCTGGAAAGACACTATATAGAAAGGGTCTGACACGAACCATCCATGTTTTTTTCTTTCAGGCAGCAGATATGAGTAGTGAACTTGTCCACTCATTCTGCTTCCATGGGTAGAGCCCACAGTCCAGCTGGGAGATCAAGGACTGAGACCTCGCTCACACTTCCCCCTCTCTCCCAGTTGCACCATTTCCCTCCACCCACCGGAGGAAGCTGCAGCTCGGAGGAGGCCCAACCTTGCGTGCTCGTGCTCGGGGAGGAAACAGGAGGGAGACACCCTCAGTGAGAGCTGTCAGCAACATTATCTGCTTTCCAGCTGGGGTGGGACACTTCTGCTGGCAAGGAAGAGGAGCTCTGCTCTTCCCCTTCTTGCAGGAGTGTTTCATGGTTGGGAGTTACCAAATAACTCCCGTAAAATGCTGTCCCAGTGTGCTCCTCTTCGCACTACCAACAGGACAGGAATTTTGGTATTTCTGCAAAAAACCTTACTGTCTGTTTTGACCAAAACAACAAAATAAACTATGCCAAATTTACCTCGGAGAATTTTTTTTTTGGGGGGGAACACCTGGGGGAGCTGTGGGAACAGGGTAAGCTTTTCAAGCCAGCCTTAGGGAGCCACTTCTCATGCAAAGTTTCATTATCTGAACCCCTTGCCCCTCATTTCAAGTTCAGTAGCTATTATATGACCCAGGAGTCTCACAACACCCAAGCAGAGAAGGCATCACCTACCCTGGGAAGCCAGGCCAGGGTGCTGGGACTTAAAAAATATCAGTGAAATACCTACCAGCATCTGTTCAACTCCTCTGAAATGGCTGCAGCCAAACTGCTCAGAGACACACAAGATTTTTAAATCTTCATAAGGTCTTTCAGTAACCAGACAGGATTCCAGAAATAAGCATCCCTTCCTCACACCACAGTATTTGTCCTGGCAAAGAATCAAACCCAACTGTGAAAAAAAGACGTTCTGTTTTATTGACTAAAAGTGCCATCAGCCTGATGTCAGGGAGGGAAGGTCTCCACTGCGTAGCCCAAGGCACAGGTGAAAAGCAGACTCAGAGCTGCTGGTCCTCCAGTTGATTTATCCCAGTTTTTGCTCTGCCTTCCCAATCTCAGAGCTGAAGGTGCTTCTCCATCTGCTCCCTCAACTTGTATTTCTGAATCTGGAATAAAGTGCGGAGAGGAGGAGGGAGACTCAGGCAGCAGCTGGGACAGGAGGCCAGAGCTCCTCCCCTGCCCCAGCCCCCTCTTACCTTGCCTGAGACAGTGAGTGGGTACTGGCTCACAAACACAAAATAACGTGGGATCTTGAAATGGGAAATCTGGGAAGAGGAAAAACAATGGCTACACAACCCCCTAGGAACAGCACAGCCAGCCCAACTGGCACTGCCAGGGCTGGGTCCCCCAGTGCTCTAAATCCATGTGTTTTCATCTGCCAGTCCCCAGCAGCCACTGGGTGTACCAGTCTGTCAGGGAGCTGAGCATGACAGACCCACCTTCCCTTTGCAGAAAGCCTTAATCTCTTCCTCAGTGCAGTCCTGCCCAGCCCTCAGTCGGATGCAGGCACAGATCTCTTCTCCCATCCTCGAATCCTTCACACCAACCACCTGGTTGGGACAGATGGACAGTGTGACCCCTGGGGACAGCCCTGTCCTCTGGCAGGGTGTGTGTGCTGCCCCATACCACTGGGTGCTGGAGCCATGGTGTGGGGCTGTGTAAAGGCAGTTTGAGCTGCTTGACCATCCCACTGGGGCTTTCTACACGATATCAAGCCCCTCCTGGAAGGAGTTCCCAACTATTTGCCAGAGGAAAAGTGGCAGAGCAAGCTGAGCACCTGGATGCCAGCACCTTCCTCCTCTGGTTTTGCAAAGTGACTGGAGTGAGGGCTGAGTCAGACCAGACCAGCTCATCGTGCCTGCAACACGGATCTGTTGTCCCTCCGCTTCCCAAAAAATGGGGCAAGAGGTTTCACAACCAACAGAGAGACTTGGTAGACTGCCATGAGTGCTTTGGGATCTCCAGATGGAGTGGCAGGGGTGGGATGAAGTCAAATTAAAGGATTATTTGAAACCCTTACAATTTCAGATCTTAGTGGACCCCCGCCCGTGACACCAGGAGATGGGCTTCCTGAGCCTGAGCTCTCTCCAAAGTTTGCTCACACTATTCCACAACAATCCTACTGCCATTCCCTGCCTTGAACCAGTATCTCAAAATCCTAGAGACACGTCGATCCTTTTGAGTCCAGAGCAGTGACACAAAGCCCTAGAAACCACATAAACAGGGCTGGTTTGCAACCCATCTGCACTGGGACTGTTCCAAGGAGAGATGCTCGCCTGGCACAGGCACAACACTGACTGAATAACCAGTTTATTTATGGGGAAACTTGTCTGGCACAAAACCTGGAGGAGAACAATCCCAGCAGACTGAGAGCAGCTGCTCAGTGCTGCAAATCATCGCTGTCTTGAGAAGGGGTGAAACAAAGTCTCACTCCTCATCTCCAGGGACTCACCGGAGGAGTCTTTTTGGATGTCAGAGTTGAGTAATTACTAGTAAAAACTGTCCTCCCAGACTGCTTTCCAAGTTAAGAATTTCAGAGGGAGCTCAGTGGACAGGCAGTTTAAAACTGAGGAATGACAGGCACTTTGCAGATGTGCACGAGGGGATTGCTCAAATCGATGTGCCCCACTTCAGGAGCTCTGCCCACCCCTCCCATGCCATGAGCCTCTCCCTCCTCCTTGCCAACCAATACTACACTGCAGTTGATGCTGAAAGCAGGAAGACAACCAGGTCTCAAGCAGAAATCTCTGCATACAGGTTTCCCAAAAAATAGCTGCTCACCTACCTCACCTCCCTCCCACTCACCTGGACCTCCTCAACCTTGGGGTGGGTGTGGAGAAACTGCTCAAGTTCTGCTGGGTAGACGTTCTCTCCACCACGAATAATCATGTCCTTGCAGCGGCCTATAATTCTGCAGTAGCCGTGCTCATCCAGGGTCCCAAGGTCCCTGCAATGACACCACTCTCCTAATCCTGTCCCAGCTGGGTGGGAGAATGGCTGATGCTCCCACAAAGTCAGGCTATCCAGAGGGTAAAGGCTGAGGTGCCAGCTGAACACACGGCAGAGATCAAAGACTCCTGCTCCAGTCACTGGCAGCATCCACACTGCACCAGGGTTTAGGGGGGAGGCAGTTCTGTGCCCCCACAGTCCCTCCATCCACCAGTGGCCAAGTGATGATCCCCTTCTCCAGGGACACTCAGCATCAAGGGCTCTGTACTAAAAGCTGTTCTGAAGTGTCACACATAGATCAGAGGGATAAATTAGGTCAATTTTCCTTGCTTTGGAAACCCCAGCCAAGCACACCCATGCATCCCTTTCCAGTGTGGACAGTCTGGGAGGAGTGGGGCTGTTCCCAGACTCACCCTGTCTTGTACCACCCCTCAGGAGTGATCACTTCACTCGTCTTGGCGGGGTCATTCCAGTAGCCCAACATGACGCAGTAGCCGCGGATCTGAAGCTCCCCAGGAGTGTTCAGAGGCACAGGCTGCCCTGTTTCT